AAGCTTTTCAGTTTGTGTCTGAATAAATCTCTTTGTCCAACATCTCCACTTGATGATTTCCTGGCAGCCCTGAACATTTTATGGAAGAAATCCCTGGAACAAGAGCGACACTGTTCCTTCCCACCCCTTCCCTGAAGCCCGAGGGAGGGCTTCCCAGGTGCTCAGGGAGGATTATGGGGAGACCAGAGTGAGCCAATGGAAATGGAAATGATGAGATCCCACACCCCTGAGGTCAGTAGGATGAGGGCGGCCACAGCCACACCTCCATGCCGTGTTCCCGAGTGCATGGTGCACAAGAGCCTTTTCTTAACTCAAAGTCAGAAAACAGTTTCCGGCGCTTAGTTCAGCAGCTCCCCAGACGAAAAAGGTTCTTTTCAAAGCCACCTCTGAGCTGCAACGCACACACCGCCTGTCCATCCTGGAGCATCTAGCAGATGCTCGGTAAGCATCTGTAACCTTTTCTACTGGATTCGTCTAAGAGTCTCCATCAGAGGAGCATCAAGGCAGTGTGTGGAGAGAGGTCTGGCCCCCAAGAGACATAAAGGGGCGCACTGTCCAGAGGATTAGAAAACAATAAGACTGGCCAAAAGTCAAACTGGCTTTTATTTCCCCACATACCAGCGATGAAATGTGATGGTGACAGAATATTACCCTTAACTAGGGATGGCTTGTACCCACTCTCCCCAAGACTGGCCATTCGCCAGGCATTACTTGTACCCAGCCCCCACCCTCTGATCTCTTTCCCATTCCCGTTCTCATTTTCTCTAGAGGGATCACCCCAAAATGGGATCTGAGCATGGCGTGGCGTCCGCCTCCCCAAAAAGATTCAGATAGGTTTTTTCCCAAGACCTGTCACCTTGGTATGTGGGACTAAGGTCAGTCAAGGCCCTGTGAGCCTCTGCAGAGGCTGTTTCCTTTGCTTCAAGTACAAAGATGACTTAAGACTTAGGGATAGCTCCAGAAACAACCTTGTGACTAGAGAAACCGATCTTAAGACAGGGCACACCTCCATCCGGAGGCAAGGCTTTGTCATATGCAGTCATCCCCTCCTCATCATGTGAACCCCCCGCCTCTCTCTCTGACACCCCAGACACTTTAGCATGGCATGTAAATGTTTGTCCCCAACTTAAAAAAAAATTTACTTCAAAAAATTTTTAAAAACAAGAATTTACTGTCTTGTACATTCTCTATATGTGTGTTATTGTTTTTAGCCCTCCTCCTAATCTATCTGGTGTTAATCTGTTTGTTCACCCACCCTCAGCAGAACCCAGAGGAGTGGGGGAGTATTCCCCACCCCACCCCCCCATTCTGACAATGTCACTCCTCTGACCTTCAGAATGAATCAACTTGTAGCAGCCTTATGGCTCTTCACAATTCTTATTTCCATACTCCCAGTCTCCCTCTTCCACCTTTGTGTCCCAAGCTCCCAGTTCCTTAAATACTTTACCTCATTCTCAAGCTCCCTCACTGTCATTCAAGTCATTCCATTAATTGAGAATTATCTTTTCAATCTCGAAAACTCATACTCATAAGACGGATGTGTTAACATCTCCAGGAAAACTTCCCCGACTCCCTCTGGCTCTCGAACAATCCATCACTTGTCTTGCTTTACCCAGACTGCCTTGTACCTGCCTCCACGGTACCACGTACTACAGATTCCACCCTCTCTGCTTCGCTTCGACTGACAATTTGCTCCACATGGACTCCAGGAGGCCTGAATTCTAAATTCCAGTCTTCGTGAAGCCAGCTGGGAAAGTGGACTTAGAGCCAATGAGGAGTCCTGGGTGGGCACACTCTATTTCCCGTCTATAAATCACCTCTAAAAGGGCCATTTCCAGATTTCAGTTCTAAGGCAGGTTAGCGTAGGAGTCTCCTTTTGCCTGCAGCGAAGCCTGCGTGAGGTGCTGCTTGAGATGCTGAAAAGGTTTACTGTGGAAGTGCCATAGAGAAACCTGTTTAGACGATGTCAGGCACTGGCACGGAGCACGCACGAAGCACTCAGCCAAGGACGCTCCAGCAGGCCTTCCATGTCCTTCAGGAAGTGATGCTGCTTCCCCATCCAGAGGGAGTGAGAAGGAGAAGGTGCCCCTTTGTTCAGTGCCAGCTCCCCTAAAACAAGAAGTCCTTGTTTGTTTCACCATGTAAATGCCTTTTCCAAGCACCTTTTTGCTGTTATTTCGGAATATGCCATTTTGTTGTGAAATAACTGCTTGTTTTTGTTTGAGGTCTACAGTACCTTCATTCAAGCGTCTTCTTAGTCTATTAATCCCCTAGTCGGTTTCTGTGGTGATCAGATGAAATGGCGGGGCAGGGTGTGAACCCTCACATAAGCCCCAGGCCCCAACGTCTACCACTGACCGCGCTCTACAACAGTTGTTGAGCGTGTCTGCCACCTACTGTCATGTCCCTCTTCTGAATGTTAAAGTCCTGCTCACCTTTATTCTCCAGGGTCTGCTCTATGCAGACAGTATAACAATCTATTAGTAATAAGTGGGCACAAGACTGTGCAAGGTGTTTCCTCCCTATTCCACTGAGTCCCAGCCCAATGGCCCACTTCTGACCTTACTTCTTTGCTCTCAACCTCCCAATTTTGTTCAGGTTTCTAGAAGCCAAACGCTCCAAAGAAACTGGGTTCCTCCCCAGTCCCATGGGTGACTCTATGTGAATATAAGGCAGTAAGAAGAACAGGAAGGAGGAACGCTGAGCCAGTGGGGAAAGCTCATAGCGCACCCCACACCCCCCACACGTGTGCTACCTCACCTTTGGACCTGAAGCTCGTAAATACGAGGCTGCCTTGCGAGCGGGCTGCACTGTATTCGGTGTGAGCCCTTCCAGGCTTCTCTCTCCTTGGGCTCCGAATAATCCTTCACTCATCCTGTGCTGCCACCGCATGACACGTACCAGCCAGTGTCCTTCACAGCACACTGTGTCAAAAGGCACAAGGACTCAGAGGTCATCGGGCCAGTACCTGTCATCTCAGACAGGGCTGAAGAGTGTCTGTTTGTGGGTCCCTAGACCTTTCACTTTCTCTTACCCTGCGGTCTGATGGCAGCCTGGGGGTGGAGGTGGCATAGGTTGGAGGCCTCTGCCATAGGTTGGATCCATGGGCTGAATGGATGTGTCAGACTAGCAAAAAAAGTAGTGGATAGGGCCCTCCCTGGTGTGCAGGGGGTTAAAGCGCAGCACTGTGAAGCTAGCAGCCGCCACTTCAGTGTGAGTTTGAATCCTATCCTGGAGCTGACCCACATGGCGCAGCAGACCTCTCCTGACCCGCCCACTGCTCCCCTCAGCAGTGGACTTCATCCATCTGCCTGTTCTGCTCTTCACTCGACTGAATCTCTCACTGACCCTGCAACTCTGGCCTGTACCCCAGTTCTGTATGCATAAATAATAAATCTTTTTTTTTTTTAAAGTAATGGACAGGGGCTGTTCCACCACCCTACATCTGAGTTGCCCCAAGCATGAAGGGCAGGCGCATGGATTAGCAGGTGACACTGAGGCTCTGGACAGGGGCAAAGTCCTAGTGTCCCTGAGGAGAGCAACAGGAAGTCCCCTGGCCTCTGGTCTTCATTGAAAGCCTGAGGCACTAAATAATCCCAAATCCACCCCGCTTCAGAATCAGAGCAGAGAAGGAAGGAATTATTACTACTTATTTTAGCCAAGACACCTTCTCTTTTATATGGAGCAGTGATTGCACTGAGCACAGCTTTTCCTCACTAGAAAACATTCACAATATTTCTGTGAGGTGAGTATGATGAGGCACATCGGGCTGCAAGAGGAGGGAGAAACAGCCCCAGGTCCCAGCAATAGTGAGTGGGGAGGCAGGATGTGAACCCAGATCAGTCTGAAGCCTGGCCAGCAACATTTCTTTCAAATTATAACTGAGCGTGAGCGTTCATGGAGTTTTTGTACATGGATTGCATCAGTCAAGAGAGTAAGTGAGCTAACATTTTGGAGTTGAGATCTAGCTCTGCTATAAAGCAATCTTGGTAGCCACTGACCTTCAGCCAACCAAGTGATCTCTTGGGACCTCAATTTTTTTTTTTCATTTATGAAATGAGAATGCAAAGCTGAATAATCGCTCAGACCCCTTCGAGCTACCGACTTGAGGATCTTACCAAGAATAGAGTCTTAATATGTTAAGAAAAGTATATTAAACATAAAAAGCAATAATATAGCTAACTAGGGTAAAAGTTGAAAATGTAAAAACTCCAAGATTAGGTAAAGAATACAATTTAAAAAACAGGAATGATTAACTAGGGTACTTCAACTGTGTGTGTGTGTGGGGGGGTTTCTATATATTCCCTAAGAGCTCAGCCCAGATTGTACCAGAGTCTTCTGACCCAACTAACATAAGGCTTCCAGGAAAGAGTTTCAGATTAGCTTGAGCTCAACCCTCCTCCTCTTCACCGTATCAGGGAGACTGGGGCAGACAGGACCAGCTGAGCCTTAGCTTCATGGGTAACAAGACAGTTTGGGAGTGAATTCTTGAATTCTCTGCTAACCATTCTCCCTGAGGACGCCCAACCAGAGGGTGAAGACTCCCCAAGCAGCTGTTCTAGCCCTGGGAAACAACATCCCTGCCTCCTTCTCTTAGGGAACGGAAATCTTGTCAATGCCACCCCTCTCTCCTCCTTCCAAACCCTCTCCCCTGGCAGAAACACTAAATGGGGGTGTTAGATAAGGCAAAGGGAGAAAATGGGGGAGGGGGGCTGACCTCACTAGCAGAAAATGTGTCTCACTAGTAGTGAAGATCAGTCCTCGGGGAGTCACAGGCATTCGGGACATAGACTGACCCTCCACCTCCCTCCCCAAATCAATAGATAACCCCTGGCGGAAGCCCCGAAAGGAGGGAAAGGCAGTACTGCTGTTGAAATCTGCTTGGTAGTGGCTTCACTGCAGTCGCAAGGCTGCTGGACAGGCGAGGAAGGGGCGCTGGGAGAGTCAGCATTTGCCCTCTTCCCTCTCGGGCATCTCTGCAGCCTGCATTGCCTATAAGGCAAACCCCGCCTCTTCCCACTCCTGCAGCCAGCATCCCCAAGACAGAGGCTGCAGGATTCTGACACAGAGAACCTGCAGTCACTGGGAGCCTCTCCAGGACACAGTCTGTGCCAGGGGAAAGGTCTGGACAAGGAGGAAGCTTTAAGAGAAGCAAAAAGCCATGGTTTGAAACTGCATCAGAATACATTGTATGCCCATAGATGGCAGTGGGTGGAGGTGGTGGGGAGGGGTACACTGTCACCTGCTTCTATTTTTCTTTCCCAGGTCTACCTGATTACATTCCAGCCAGTCAGATGTCCGGAGAGGGGACTCACCACTGCAGGGACCTCCAGCCCGCAGAGCTGTTCAAGGAAGGACCCAGGTCAGCAGAAAAGGCTGTTGAAGAGGGGAGCGGGGAGGAGGGGAGTGGCTGCAGGGAGAGTAGCTTTGGTGGCAAATGTGAGAATCCAGATGGTAGGGACAGCTGGGAAGAAGGGAATGCAGCCTGGGTGCATCTCTTGGGGAGTTTTGCTCCCAGGTGGGCTGTGCACTCGGCAGAATATCAGCAGTGAAAGACATGTGAGGACTGAGAGTCAGACCTAGGTGGGTGTCAGACACTGTGCAGGTCCCAGGCTACCTGTCCTCCCAGTCCTATCCTCTCAATGCTACATGCAGTGGTGTTTGGGAGAACAACATAATGCAGACCTCACCGGGAGGCTCTCTGAGGAAGCGGCTGCAGAAGAAGGGGTGTGGAGGGAAGTGAATTTTAAAAAAACAAACAACCTGCAGAGTGAACATCAACAGTAGGCAAGGAGGCTGACAGAGGTTAGTATGAGTTCATCCTGGTGATTTTTCAGAGGATAGGAAGCTGGCCTGGGTTGGGCAGAGAAGGCTGAGGGAGAAGTTGTGAAATCTTGGGCAACACAGTTGACCTCTCTGAACCAAGGGAGATCACAATTATGCCTGTTCTACTAACCTTAGTAGGTTGCTGTAACGTTCAGTTGTGAAAGAGTATTGCAAAAGGTGAAGTGCACTTGATTGTTAACATGTAGCACTAGTGCCAGGATTTCTTACACGAGCATCTCCCAGCCCTGGCTGGGTACTTTAAAATGTCTTCAGAAGCTTTATCAAGTATGCTGCACCCAGAAAAATAAGTCACTGCCTGGACTGCACCTTAGGTCAATTATTCAAGGTGGGATGTGGCAGGAAGTGGAACCTTTTGAACAGCTTCTCAGGTGGTTCTGCCCTTGGAAGTACCTAAGACTTCCTCAAACTTCCCAAAGGTCACCTGGAGCACAAGTTTTGAAAAAGCAGATCTCTACCGAATGGGAATTTCAAGACCTGACAGTCAGTGTAGTGAGCAGCAATAAAAGCCGTGTGGACAAGTCATCCCAGTGCCAAGTCTGGCCATTGTCCCCTCCCCTCCAGGATGCGTAATCAGAGCCCACAGTGCCCTGTACAGTGCAGGCAGCTCAGGGGAGAAGGCGGAGTGGGCCTCCTGTTTGGAGAGCGTGCACAGGCACGGGGCTGCATGGACTGCCCTGTTACTGCTCCATGAGGTGACAGTCTAATTACAAAATGACAAATCTCCCAGCCAAAGAGCCAGAGGGAACTTAAGAGGCGAGGGAAACTATGATGAGTTGCCAATAACTGAGTGCACCGATTACCGGTGTTTTCTTGTTTTGTCAATGGACAGTCCAAACTTTCTTGCTTCTGTCCCACTGATAAGATTTATCAACACACACACACACACATGCTCACACACCCATCCACACTCACACACATAAGCACACAGACCCCAAGCTTATCACGCACACAAAGGGGAAGATGAAGAGGATTCAGGGGGCCGCTGAGCTCATGCCAGGCCCAGGCCCGTGTACGTGGGAGCATCGCTAGCTCAGGCATGGACAGTGAAGTAACAGTCAGGCCTAAGTTCCCTGGCGGGGGTGTAGTTCAGTTCTTGCATTTCACAGGGACGATATCAGCACAGCAATGACGAGCCAGACTCTGGAGCCGACGGCCCAGTTGAAGTCCCACCACCCTACTGAATGGCAGTGAGATTTGGAACCACTACTGTGACAGGTGACTGTGGCAGGGGGGCTGGGGAGAGCCTCGACAGCATAGACGAAGCGGGGGTACCCATAGATGGAGAAGTATTGTCTTTTGCGTTGTTTGATGAGGAAGCTGAGGTCTAGAAAATGAGTTGTCCTTCCTTAACTCGGGTGGAAATGCCACCCAAGGACACAGTCACAGATGAGAACAAATATCCCGACTAAAAAGACTCGCAGCTGTATCATTTGAGAAAAACAAAAAAACTAGGCAAACTGGACATCACTTAACTGTCCCACAGTGGAGGTCGGTCACCAAAATAATAGTGCAACTGTACAACTATGTCGTAACAGCATGAGAAGACTGGCGATACTATCTGACGTGGAAGGATGACGTACACTCGTGCTCTCTAACAGAGTTAGTCTGGCTGGAAACGAAACAACAGAACGCCCCTGCTCTCCGGATGTGGGATGGCGGGGACATGCACTTTCCTCCTTATAATTTTCTGAATTGTACTGATCTTCCGTAATGAACAAATATGACTTTAAAAGTCAGAAAATAAGTTGTTTGTTTCGAGCAATTTGCTCAAGGTTAAACAAAACATTAGTAGCCTACACGGGCTTTCTATTTCTGTCCAGGATTCTGGATGAGCGGTAGGAAGCAAAACGAATTGGAAGGAGCGGGTGAACAAGCCCCAGGAAGCACAGGACCTGCACAGCTGTGAGGACTGGGACCCAGTTCAGAGGGGACGAGGTCAGGACTGTGCCGTCCAGCTTCCAGGGCCAAGCCAGTCGCGTTGCCAAAGCCTTTCGATAGAGATGGTCACTGCCAGGTCAGGGCCCCCCCACATTTAGTCCTTGCTAGCGCCTGCTCTGGGGGTCACTGCCTTACTCAGAGATGGAAAGAGCCAGCTTCTACTTGGTGTGAAGACAGAAAAACATCACAGCAACCTTGCTTCCCCTCATCCTCTGTGCCGACTCCCTCGCAACTGGAGAGCACCCCCACTAGTCTGCATTCCCGGCTCCTCCTTAATATAGAAGTCCCCTGCCATGCCCAACATTTTTCCAATCATAATGCCAAGGTGCTTGACACAGCCAACTCTGGAGAATGTTTATTTTGCAAGTTTGAAATAAAAAAGATCTGGAACTAATAACTAAGGTAGACCTCATCTAAGAGAAGAAAGAAGGAAGGGGGGGGGAGGAAAGGACGTAAAAAGCAGGAGAGAGAGATTTGGTATTATATAAAGATCGTTTCATCTCTGTCAAACCTTTGCTACAAACTGTTCAGTGTATTTTTATGTGTTAAATTCTGACCTCTAAAATATGAGACTGAAGTAGATAGATATGCTCAAAAAGTCAGTGATTTTATATGAAGCTAGGGCTTTTTCCTCAAATGTATTGACTCACCCATGGTTTACATAACTCTACAATTTGGCTGCTCAATTTCACACTGCCACATGAACACATTTCACTCACCCTCCACCTAATCCAGCACTCTTTTTAAAAACTCATTCTGGTGGCAAAAGTGAAGCAATACAGCCTGCTGAGTTATCAAGAGAACCAACCAGCTGAGCATTTAGTGACTCGTGTTGGGCACCCACTGAATTTTCAAGTTAAAAACACAAAAACTGTCTAATGCAACATCTCACTTTCTAGATGAAGACAGTGAGCCACAGACACTGAGACTAACATTCACTGAGTGCCAGGCAGGTGTGCTCAGGTGTACAGCAGGTAAATGGCAGCCCCAGAATTAGATGCCGTTCCCAGGACCTCACAGTCCACTTGCTGTATGAGTAGAGTCAAGGATGAAAGAAGGGATCGGATCATAGAAACTCCTCCTCACAGACCACAAAAAGAGCAATCACAAAGACAACAATACATCATAATACATCAAGGGCAACTACATCTTTTCTCCTTCACCTCCAGCACAGAAAGGAAACCATAGCTTGAGGGGAGCTGGTGAGGGAGCAGGAAAGGCCCAACAGTCCTTCCCTGAATGAGCAAAGAGGAGTCAAAGGCCAGAGCCCTCAGAAGAACAGACACCTGGGAGGAAAGAGCTTCCCCTGATGGCAGCCAGCACAGGAAGTCCCAGGTCCCATGGGAAGGTCTGGGGCAGGAAGTCCCTGGGGAGAAAGGAGGAGCAAAATCACACTTGAAAATGAGGATTAACATTCTAAAATTCTCCATTTTAATTGAAAGTTGGCAAGAAGACTAACATACCTGGTTGCTTATAGCTGTCATTACCTCTTGGCGTCTCACTTGGATCATGAGTAAGATTTTATACCTATGACATTCAGTACAGACGTATCTGAATGTAGTCATTAAAAACTGTGTCCAGTTTAGTTCAAAAGGTACTTGCAAATAGAGACACGCATTGTATTCTTCCTTGGATTTGGTTAACCATGTGCATGAGAATTGGGCCGGGACAACATAAGGCAACCCTGCAGGTTAGTCATCTCTCTGAGAGCTTTATCGGAAGCGTGGCTTTGCTAGCAAAGTAGAACAAGAATTCCAAATTGAACCTATAAGAACGCTTACTTTTTTTTTTTTTTTTAAAGACTTCTACTTAAGCAGGTCATCAAGAAGAGGCTGTCTTTGTCCACAGCACTCAGGCTAAGGGGAGCTCTGACTCTGATTCCCAGGGGAGTGGGGAGAACCACTCACGAGAGGGCGAGTAAGAAGCCCAAAGCAGTCCACGAGCAAACTTTTAAAGAGCCGAGACCCCCGTGGAGTCCTCTCCATCCCAAGGAGATTCGGCTCACTCTGAGTCTCTCAAAATGTATTTGGGGGGCACATGACTAGAAGTTATCCCATAAAAAGGTGGAGAGAGTGGTAAAAATACTTAGAACAAAGCTGGGCTAAAGAGGTAGGATATCTTGATGTCTTGAATCTCTCATTCATATGCACATGACCCAGAAGAAGCGAGGCTGAGTGGCCAGGCCTGGGGACAGTTTCTGTGGTGTGTGGTGTGTCTCAGCTCTGCAGAGACCACACTGGAGAAACTCAGCTGTTCTGTACCCTGTGACCAGCTGAGTCTAAAATAGGCGGAAATTTCAAGTACAGCAGGTATCGTGCCTGATGTTTCAGTGAGCAGGAAGGAAACATCCGATAACAAAGCTTCCGAGCTCAGACACAAATAGCGTAAGGAGACCAGGTTGTAGGTTTTGTCTCTGGGGATGTTTCAGAACAGGCCCAGGTCATCAGGAGCTCTGTCTGACATAGGGCAGGATGATGCAGCCCAAACTTCTGGAAGTCTCCTACTACTCAATGATTCCACATTGTTTTTGCCGTATTTATTTTGACGTCATTACACAAGCTTAGTTAACTTCCTCGCTAGTTAAATACACTCCAGAAATGTTGCGTGTAAAGAAATGCATGCTCTCCGAATTGAGTCATACTTTCCACTGACGTGGATTAACGTTCTAGAGAACACCGGCCCCAAACAAGACCTGAAAGCGCACCAGGGGCCTGCCAGGCACGTGTACCTGGGCAGTCTCCTCACAGCTCCTTCTCCATTCAAGGTCAACCCAGAAGTCAGGCCATAGGGTCCCTCCATGCCCTCCCCTGCCCCCAACTCAATCTGCTGCCTCATTGCTAAGTGTTAGAAGTTTCCAGGGATTTTGAATGAGTAAGTCTCTCACTGCTTATGTTCTTTTCAAGGAATGGACCCGAATCCCTGGATATTCTGTTCTGCTGGGTTGTTTCTTTGTTTCTAGCATGGAAACAGCTTTCATTCTAAAAGTCCTTAGCCCCTTTACAAGAGTCACCTCTGTTCTGGCCCTGTACTGATAGTAGAATAGCTGAATCACAGTCAGTGTTACGTCAGGAAATCTAAACCTCGGCCATAGGGAAACTATTCCCTGTGTATCTCCCCAAACACTGGGCCTTCCAGGAGCTTGAGTGAATTAAACTGTTCCTTGGGTGAATTTAAAAGTCCCAGCAAGGCTCAGAGGTCCTGCCTGTGCCTCAGTGCCCCATGGAAGTTAGCAAACAGAAAGAGGCCATGGAGACAATACCAGTATTTACTGGATGCCCACTCCATGCCAGGCCCTGGCTAGACAGCATCGTTTCATTAATCCCACCAGCCCCTAGAGGGATGTTCTGTTAGGACCTGACTGTACAGAGGACAAAACCAAGGCTCAGGGTGGTTCCCCACGTTTCCAAGGCCACCCAGTAACTCCACAGTTGGCAGCCTGGGGCTGACTTGGCTGACGTCACCCCTTCCGACGTGGCCAGCAGAGACTGAAGGGCTCAGAACTACATCTTCACTCCCCATTCTGCCTCGCCTTCCACAGTCACAGCACTGTGCGCCTGCACATTCGCTGCCTCGTGAGTGAACGTGCAGTAAAAAAAGAGGGAACTGCCACAAAGTTGTTTGGGGTGCCCTCTTTTAAATACACTTGGAAAAAATACCCCTAGTTCCTCCAGTGAATAAAAAGTTCTTTGTTTCTCAACTCTGGTCAGCAATGCCCACAATTCTGCCACACAGCACTCCTTTCCTTCCGCTGGAGGGAGGAATGATGATTGCGTGAAAATGGTTTACGTTCGTTTTTCTACAGACTATTTTAAGTTTAGTTATGTTGTGTGAGGTTTGGGGGTTGTGTTTTATTTATTGTATTGTGTTGTGTTATTTTTATTGAGTAGTTTAAACACTGTCCTGTTTTAGGGGTACAAGTTCATACCTCTTTTATTGTATGTTGTCACACCAAATTCACCACCAAATCCCCTTTAATCCTCCACCACAGTCCATGGGGCCTTCTCTTTCTTTGCTCCCCACCCCCTACCCTCCAGTAGCCTCAAATCTACAGTCAGATTTCTAGGGTTTGAATCAGTTTAGTTTTGTCTGTTCCTGGTTTTTTTTTTTTTTTTTTTTTTTTTTTTTGTATTTCACATGAGTAAAATCATGTGGCATTTATCTTTCTCCTTCTGACTGATTTCACTTAGAATTATCCCCTCCAGTTCCACCCACGTGGTTGCAAATGGTAAGATTTGACCTTTTATATAGCTGAGTAATATTCCATTCTGTGCATTTTAAAAGGGAAAGGCCCCCTTCTATTGAAAACTACCTATGATAAGAAAGTGATTCTGCTACAGACCATCCCCAACTTATGATGGTTCACTTAGGATTTCTCCAGCTTCATGAGGATGAAAAAGTGGTACTGATTCAACAGAAACCATACTTTGGCTGTTGGCTGTTTCCCAGGTAGTGATATCTGGCAGGATCCTATCCCATGGTGCCTGGTAGTGGTAGTTCCCAGTCAGAACTGAGTTGCCAGAGAGTTTTGGATATCTTCTTTGGAGTGTCACATCCTATCATGTGTGTGATATTCAACACCACATTAAAAAAACAGGCCTCATGTGAGATCATTTTGCCCAACTGTCCACAAAGTGTCCTAGCATGTGTAAGACAGAATATTCCAAGCTATGACATTCAGTAAGCCACATGTATTAAATGCATTTTCAAATTTAGATACTTTCAATTTACAATGGGTTTACTGAGACTTAAGCTCATAGTACATCAAGAAAATCTGTGTTTGTTAGATTAGGACACATCCAAACCAATTATTTAGGTGTGCATGTCCTAGAAAAAGAGAGCAGAGGAGCATTAAGGCCCGTGGGGGGTTTCCTTTAGATCCAACCTGATTTATTTACCCTGCCCACACCCCCAGATCTTTGAAAGGGCAAAATGTGGGAAGGAGGAGAAATAAAAACAGGAAAAGGGTTCTAGTATCCTTTTAAATTTGGGTTTTCAGAAATGAAAGCTGTCCCTAGTAAGGGATGACCAGTGTGAAATCTTCCCGACTCTTCTCTTTGAATCTTAAGGGAGTCTCGCTGTCGAGACTCCCTTCTTAAGTCCTGGTCCTGAAATAGTTCAATGAAATCATAGGAAAAGAGAAGAGCCCTTTTTATCCTTCTCCCAAGGTAAAAATATCAGATGCAGTTTCAACTTTAGAAGCATTGAACTTTTAGTCAATAATTTTCTAACACAGGAGAGTTCAACTGAGTGTTGAAACAGACTAGGAAGAATCCAGAAAGAGAGGCAAGAAAGGATGGGTGATCACACAGGCCGTGAGGTAGGGCAGACAGCCAGGCAACTGCAGTCGGTGAGTGTCTGGGGAGCCAACCCTCTCAGATTCAGCCTGCAAGAGAAGTGTCTCATTCTCTGACACGCCAGAAGTCAGAGCCCACCCTCAAGTCAGAGATACTTAAGCACCATAAGTTTGCCCTTTTCCTCATTTTAATCTTTGTAGTTACAACTCCTTAACCGCATTTGCCTATCTACGTAACTGAATAGGGGCCATAACTTAAGGTGTTCTTTATTCCTGTGGGTCCCTCCGCCTCCTCTCCAAGCCTGCTGTCCTGTGATCACTACCTGTGCCTGGCAGCCACACCTGCTCCGATGAAACTTTCCAACAGCTCCAGACCATCACACAGGAAGCTGTTCAAGAGCAGACACAGATGACAGTGCCCACAGGTGACCCTATCAAGTATCCCGGTGTGGCTCCCTAAACAAGGTGCCCACTCAGGCTGGCAGGAATGTGAACACAGGGCAATGCTGCCCACCTGGGTTTCCACCAGGAAACCAAGACGGGATGGGTCTTAAGGCAGCAGATGGTCGTAGCCTCGGTGCACAGCCCTGTCCCTTCTGAAGACAGAGCCACACTCAGCATTCCGCCCCACCCCCAACCCTGCTGGTGTCAGAAAGCATCAAGACAGGATCAAAGACACTGTTGTTTTTCAAAACAAAAATCTTTTGTTTTTCAAAGGAAACCAAAGTCCATACCAGTGTGTGACTTCTTCCAATATGTCTCGCATTTTTTTGGTTCCAGTTTTACTAAAATATAACTGACATAATCAACACCTCTCATTGCTGTGTCCTATGTGGTCACAAAGTCACTAAATGAGGATCTTTATCAGAAATAACCTGCACAGTTTTCAGTCAGGCGCTCTGTGGTTGCTATTTGGAATTCATAGGCACTGGGGAGACACATTCTAGGAGGTTGCAAAGGCAGAAGAGTCAATAAGTAAAATCTAAACCCACTTCCAAATGAGTAGAGAACTAGCAGAATGGCATCTGATGGGTGTGGTGAGTGTCTGGGCTCCCAGCGCTCACAGGGCGCTGCTCCTGGGTGAATGGCCTCTCCCCTGAGCACAGAGAGAAGCTCTGCAGAAGACACATGTGCTTTTCTCCCTTTCCAGCAATGCCAAGTTGCTCTAAAGCCTGCCTGATTCATAGCTCAACAACCACGGTTCTGGAAACTTTGTTCTTCCTAAGCCCGGCCCTGTGATTTATAAAAGAGATCTGTAACCCCACAGTAACTTCTCTTTCTCTACCAGGGCAACAAAGTACAGGCAAGAATCTAGAAGCTGCATTCTGTTTCCCAGGGCAGCCGAAGTCAGCAGTCTTGGGTAAGATATTAATCTTCTGCATGCCTTCCTTCCTCTATCAAATGCAGAAGTTGGTGATCTCCTACTTTCTTGATTTCCAATCTATGATGGTTTCCTGCTGCCCAGGCACAAAATTTCACAGAAAAAGCAAAGTCCTCAAATACTGAAGAAGCTTTTATTAGGTGAGAATAAATGTTCAGGACCTACCTGGCCCCCAGACCATAGCCTGTATACGTAAGAGTTTCTTTGCCCAGTGGGGGAAAAAAAAAGCCTTTATATTCATAAGAGTAATAATTGCTAGCCCGTCCTCAAAAATCTAGATGCTGGTTATCTGACTAAGGATTTGGCTAACCGGCCACAGTCTCTCTACCCTGGAAAGTCAGGAGGGAGAGATGAAATAAACAGCACTTCATTCCATTCCCATGGACAGCTCTGCTAAGGGTTTGCTTGGGTAGGAAATGTACATAGTTGGTTTAAAAAAAAAGTTTAGCTAAACCATAGGTTTCCATTTTCCATGGAAAAATATACTGCTGTTAGAAAATGTGGACCCAGAGGCTCACGTTGCCTGTGTGATCCTGGAACAGTCATTTCACATCTCTGCATCAACTTCCTCCTTCACTAAGGGAGACGCTTGAACTCCCTTCTTTGACCTTGACACCACCCTTGGCAATGCGCTGGTGCTTATGGGAAGCACTGAGTGACGTTCCTCATTCCACTCTGGTTGGAAACTATTTGTTGAAAATAATACTACCAGTCTATCTGTCCTAAACTTAATAGATATATAACCAGATTCTATTTCTACATATCAAGTCACGTTAAGTGTCATAATCTAAAGAGAATCTGCAGTGAGACTTCTAGTAAGATAGCTAGATATCCCGCATCTATGTTTTATGTGGTTTTCCTTAATGTTTGTGTAGAGAGCAAACTTTCTTGGAGGGTGCAGGAGTCCAGTCCCCCTGCTAGCTGGTGGTGTCCCCGAGGTCCCTCAGTGCCTACAGATGAAAGGTCCCTGCTTCACCCAATGTATTTCCTGCTAAATCCTAAGCTGCAGCCTCATTTGTGCCTCACAACATTATGTGAGGGAAGAAGCCTCATGTCCTTAGTTTACAGGTGACAAAGCTTAAGTCTGAAGGGATTAAATGAAATGCAGCTGATGAACAGAGATTCAGATCCAACTTCTCTGAATCCTGAGCAAGCAAATCAAAGGGCTCTGAGTTCAGAGGGTGGGGTGCAGTGGGACATACAGGTGGCCAGGAAACAAAAGAAGATGCTGCGGACAAAGTTCAGGGAGGTGGCATTTGGGAAGCCACCGGACTTATGGGTCTGTCCCGATAGCTACTGCAACACCTAGCATTTCTCCCAAGGAGGAGGATGCCAGTGTGAGGGGGAAGGGTCCGATGGAGGTTGTCACTCCTGACAGCAGTGAAATGCGAGGGGGAGAAAGAGAGTGAAAGTGGTAAGGAAGAATCTACTGGAAGATAGACAGACATAGACGGAAATAGATATAGATAAATCAGTAGACACACAGACAGATAGATAAGCATAGATAGATGATAGATACAGATATATAGTGGTAGACAGAAAGAGACAGGTTAGAAAAATATGTGTGTTTCTGTAGAATCTTCCTTACAATTATATATCTACACATATATGTATATAGGCCACACACACATATACATACATATGCATGTAATGTGACTTACAGATATATACTATGAGCTTGCAGGACCTCTAAGAGACACACCATGATAAAATAAGCCTGTCCATACGCCCACACATTTAAGAAGCTTGAGTTTACTCTCTTCTTACTCAGAACCCATCAGAGCCTCCTGGATTCTGTTCTGTTGGATCTCCCTTGAGGATGAGGAACCACACATTAGCTGCGGGCCTTGAACACGCCACATCCCCTTCTGCGTCTCAACTGTCTTCCCTGCTAAAGAGGAAGATGGTGCCTAACGATGTACCTCCTCTGGCGGCTGTAGAATAACAACAACTCCCACTTGTATGGAGTCTGTCTAGCAAGCTCAAAACAGTCTGAAGAGATTGCTACTATTATTATTGCCCACTTTACAAGGGAGAAAATTGAGGCAAATGGCTAGCCCAAGATCTGAGCTCCAAAAACATGGCTCCAGCATCCAGGCTCAACTGCTTTGCTATGTGACCCATTGCCTGAAAACACTGAGTATATCTTAGCTGCTTTGTACGTGAGCAGTGCTCCTGGGACACCCACACCCCCTGGGGGGATGAAAGTCAACGAAGATTCTGGAAATGATGCTGCCCCCAGCCTCAGGCCTGCGACTTCAGTGGCCAGAGTGCCCAGAGTCCAGGCCAAAGGCAGGTCTCCTGGCCCATCTTCCATGCTCTTTTTCCAAGCCAAGTGTCCCTGCTGCCAAGAGCAGGTTTGCCTGTCTCCTGGAGACAGCGGTCGTCAAGCCCCGCGAGCACAGCAAGCATGTCAAAAATAGCAGCGCCAGCAGACTGCATGGCTGCAATTTCCTTTTGAAATGTTGGCTCGGCTCTCGCCAAAGAGCTGGGGTCTGTCTGTGCTCCCTGCAGCCTGCAGTCATGGTGCTTTCTAGGGGTGTGGGGAGGGCAAGCACAGGGCCCACCGCAGCCTACAGAGGAGTCCTCTTTCTGCACTGAAGCAGCGATGGGGTGGGTGTGTTTGTTTTCTTTTTTTTTTAATGGGCATACACCCCACCAGGGCCAAGCCCCTCACCCCCACCCCAAGGTGAAGTAATGGCCAAGGTGAGGCCAGAATGAGTGAAAATTCCTGGTGCATCTAGGAGTGAGGAAGTCATACCCTCCTAAGGAAATCCCTCCAAACAGTACAGAGGGGTATGAGAACCCAGAAGGCACAGGGTCAGGGCGAACTGCTCTCTCAAAGGGATACCACAGGCCCTCTGCAACCCCACAGCGACCTCCAGCCCGAGCCTGGGACAGGCCAGTGGTTCATGGGGAGGGGCAGGAACACGAGGCCTAAGGACCCCTGTCTTTCTTCCCAGAGGCTTGCATCAGCTAGGGGGCCCTCTCCCCCTGGAGTCCCAAACTCCACACGAGGCATCTGAGTATCTAGAGGCAGCTCCCTAAAGCAGGGTGGAGAAGGAAACCCCCCACTCTCAGAAACAGATTTCTTCCTCCTCCCCTACGTGACCTTGACAGGCTAGAACGCACCACTCCATCTCCTGCAGAAACAAGCAAGTCAGGCCTGGCAGGGCTGGACAGCAAGCTGGCCACATTATCCAAGATTCTCACGGACTCTGTCTTGGTGTTGACAGAGTCCTGCAGAAAGCGAAGGGAAACAGCCACGGAGAAAGGACCATAGCAGCTGGGCTGGAGCTGTGGATAACGAGAGGCGCATCTAATGGCAACCCTGAAGCAGGGGCTGGCCAGCAAAGGGTCAGTCCCTTGAGCAAGCGACGGCCCTTGTCCAATGTCCCAAATAATGTCTCACCGCCTTTTTGTAGTTCAAAGCCTGTTAATTAGGCTCTGCACTTGCTAAAAATGACTTGACCTAGCTTTAGACTAGAGAGGAAAAATCATGCAAATCCCACAATGGTATGATTATCAAAATAAATAAATAAATAAAAACACTGGCACAGTATCTGAGCAGTGAGCAGCGACATGGACATGGAAGTCCTACGTGTTCCCATGTGTCTTTCCATCCAAGTGCCCCGTTAGTCCACCTTCAGAGAAGCTGCATCTCAAGATGTGTAACACCAACCATTTTCTCAACTAACAATGTCCAGATCGAATAAGCCTCATGTCCACTTTTTATTCACAATTCCCTGGTGTGTTGGGTTATTTATATTACCGATCTCTCTCTCCTCGCACACACATGCACACGAGGCGAGGGCCCTTGTCCTGTGCTCTATGACCCCCAGCAAGGATCAGGGACAAGCTCCTCACCGACTGGCTGGTGAGCCTCAACCAGCTTGTCAGGAATGGCCCCTGCCCTGCTGAGTTTACATGCTTGGCTTTTGTTCTGCCATGAGAGTGCAGAGAGAGAGAGCTTGATGCTGCCAGAAGCTCCAGTGAATTAAGGGCTCCAAGTTAATCTCTTTTTTTCCAAGCAAATCCCAATCTTATGCCTTGCTCTGAAGTCCTTGTTTTCTTCTGTTGCTATTTCTACTGTTTCTTTCTAGAACCTCTCTGTAAGTTGCAACCTCCCCCCAACAGGGTCATACTCTAGGGCTATACATAGCAGATAATCTGATTTATCAGGTTACCTCTCTCTCTCTGCCCTTTTCTCCCCTGGCATGTTCATCTCAGCTTGCTCTTTGTCGAGGATTCCCTCCACAGACCTCATAAAAGATCCCCCCCACAGAGGGGTCCTGGCTAGGAAAGCATCCTGAGATGTCAGGAAGGAGACACCCTGCAGCTAGAGAACAACCTTCTCAGAAAACACCCCAGACCAATGCTGTCCCAAGTTCACAGTGTGACCCCAACAGAAACACTCTAAGACAGAGGCTGAGCAGGAGAGAGAGAGAGAAAGGAAACAGGGAGGGAAGACAGAGTTAAAATGACAGAGGGGGAGGAGACAAGGATGTGAGAAGAGGGAGGAAAGGCAGAGAAAGTGAGCATGAATGGGAGGTAAGAGGGCCATGCAGGGAAAGGCTGCCAGCCAGTGGGGCTCCCGCAGGAGGGGAAACCTGAGGAAAGAGACACAGGAAGCGACAGGGAAGCGTGCAAGAAAATACACAGAAATAAAAGCAAGGTGGCCACTGAGCAAAGGGAAAACAGCTCTTGATTCCCACAGACGCATGTACCCCACCCACCCTGAGTTCTAATGTGTCCCCGAGAGCCAGAGGAGCCAGGAAGTAAATTCTCAGCACCTACCTGAGAGGCCACACCAGCCAGCTGTCCCTCTCTCCTGGGGGCTGAGCAGGCGGGAGGGGCACCCCACGTCTCAGGGGAGCCGGACAGATCCTGAAAGACCTTTGGGAGCTGCGGCCGGCGTCAGCTTGAGGCAGGTGAATCCGATCGTGCTGGTAGCTGGGAAATCACCACTCGGCTGTCTCAGCAACACAGGCTCCTCCTCGGCATGAAGAGACTCAGAGTCACAGGGAGATGGCTTTAGCAAAATCCTCCACAGAAACGAGGCCAGGACACAGCCACTTGGGTTGTCTTCCATGTCTTAAGGAGCCTATCCCATGAGATTCCTCCCAGGAACAGACCTTTCCTGGGAGGAAGGAGCCGCCCCTCTCCCAGGGTCCTGGAGCTGGGAGGAGTCTTTCTCTGAGGATGGGCTCCATGGAACTAGGATGACAGACACCACTTGACTCTCGGCGAGGCCCAGCTTGGAGGCCTTGGAAGAACGTGTCCCTTATCCCATTCCCCTCATGGTTTTGAAAAAGACAACATTGACATTGGTTTAATTGGTTTAACAGAGCATTCAAGTTTCTAAAGAATCAGGGATAAGATGAGGCAGCTTCAGTGACTGGGTGGGCAAGCCAGGAGAAAAGGCCCCAGGAAGAAGTTTGGGGAACCTGTTTCCCCCTCATTTTCTGAAAGTCACACATTCCTGTCCTGATCCTAGGAGCCCCTAAACCAATAGGTGGGAGGTGTTCCCATTTCAGAAGCTGGGAAGATGTATTCTCCTGTTCTCCTTTACTGCCCAAATCGGAAGATAGAGAGAACAGTCTGGAAGGTTGCTACGGCAACCAGAGTCCCTGGAGAGCCCAGCTCTCAGCAAACCCTTTACTTTCAGACATGCTCTGACTTGAAAAGGAAATGCTTTATTGGGGTTGGTGATGAGGATGACCATATGCACATACACAGAGCTACCTGCATGCTGTACCACCATTTCCCCAGGCCGGGAGCACCCCGTTGGCCTCGAGTGCCCTTCACCTGTCCCCAAATGTTCAAAGTCATTGAAGAGATTGGGAAAACCAACACTCTGGCCTCAGAGCAGGTTTTGGAATCATTAGCTCCTTTAGCTCTTGCTGTATTTCCAGCAAGGAGAAGCCAGGCTCCCAATTAATGTGGTCTTGGTAGGATCCCACTGTCCAAAGAGCTTCTTCCTTGCGAAAGGAAAAAGAAAGACTGGGGCCCAGTTGTTTGAAAGGCCAAGGAGGGTCTTAAGGAACTAATAGCCCAGAAAGGCTGATCTTGGGCTTTGGATCTGAGGCAGGAACTCTGATGGGAGGAGGCTTTGTCTGTGGGAGATGGGGAGACACGGGCATGCACTGAAGCCCAAATCCATGGCTAAAACTCCCAACTTGCATAGCATCATCCCCAGCTTCCTGGATGGGTTTAACAATATCCCTGTGAGGTAAGGAGGGGAAGACATTAATGTTCCCATGGAATGGTTGGGGAAACTGAGGCACAAGAGGAGCTGTGGCACCAAAGTTACCCTGCAAAGCTGTGGCAAAGTCCAGATGTAGATCTGGCAATCACAGGAGCCACAGCACCCCTCAAAAACACCCTCCAAAGGCCATCCCTTACAACCTGCTCTTTGAGAAAATATTGTTCTTTAATCCTCATCAAAGAGACTTAAAGCACAGACAGAAAATCAAAACCTGTTAATAGTCCTTCCGGTTTCTGCACTGCACCGAGAAGAGCTCAGAACAGTATGTCACAGTTTATCAAGGCAACAAACAAAATAAGAATGTTACTGGGGGGAGATGAGGGAACAGACAGGAAGGGGGGGCAGCAGCTTCATGATGGAGGAAGATGGGCTGGTCGGGGCAGGAACACCTGCACATTACCTTGCCAAGTACAGCCAGGCACTGAGGCCCCTGGGACAAAGCTGGAGAATATTTGCTTGACTCAGCAGAAAAGCCTCCACCACCGAGGCCATCAGAAAAGGGCTACATTTAGTCCTCCTTCTTCCTGACTCTACACCACTTATTTCATTGCCCATAAAATAGGAGAAACCCACGCTAGCATCCAAGTGTGCTTTTCCCTGTTTGCAGGCTTTAGCTGCAGCTGGCTCCAGAAAGTCTTCCACTGCAACCCTAAATCAAATTCCCAGAAAGACAGGCAGAAGCTAGAGAGGGCTGGGGGAAAGGAGTGTGTGTGGGGGGGGGGGGCGCG